GAGCGAGCGCTCCAGCGGCCTCCGCTACGAGGGCGAGTGGCTGGACAACCTGCGCCACGGCTACGGCTGCACCACGCTGCCCGACGGCCACCGCGAGGAGGGCAAGTACCGCCACAACGTGCTGGTCAAGGGCACCAAGCGCCGCGTGCTGCCGCTCAAGAGCAGCAAGGTCCGCCAGAAGGTGGAGCACAGCGTGGAGGGCGCCCAGCGCGCCGCCGCCATAGCGCGCCAGAAGGCCGAGATCGCCGCCTCCAGGTAGGACCCGGGGCGGCGCAGGTGGGCTGCGCCTCACTCTGGGAAGGGGTTCTGGGGTAGGGTAACCTAGGAAGCTTGTTTCTGCTGCTTTTACCACCAGGGGCTCCCCCGTGACTTTAGAGGGTTCATTGGAGGTGCTTCAGCATGTGATGTCATCTGTTCACCGAGCTATCCATTACTCATCAAATTACCCATCCATCCGTCCACTCGGTTGTTCCCAACCACCCATTCACCTTACCCCTCGATTCACTTAAACATTGCATTTCGTCATCCACCCATTTAACTTTCCATCTTTTTATCCACTCAGCCATGCAATCACCCACCTATCCATCGACCCAAACATTCATCCAACAACCCAGACACCCATTCAGCCATCCACCATCCATCCCCTCATCCCCAGCACCCACATTCACTCAACTTCTCCCAGCCACTGAATCACCATCCATCCTAACATACAACCATGCATCCATTCACACAACCACCTTCATTCACCCAATTACCTCCATTTATCCAATTACCCCATCACCCAACCATGCTTCCATCCACTGAAACAACATCCAGTCCCACCCACCTACCTAGTCATTCAGCCATCTATCCATTATCCATCCATCTAACCACATTCATCACCCAGCCGTACTTACATCCAATAGTCCATCTATCCTTCCATTCACTAAACCACCCACCCTCCAGCCCGGCATCCATCCGCCCTCCACCCATTCAGCACCTACCCTTTCATCCATATTCAGACCCCAGTATGTCTTCTCATTGTACTTCAGAAAAAGTTCTAATGTCTTCAAACATTTATAACACCTGCTGTGTCCATGGCATTATTTTAAGTAGTTTACAAGCATCGACTCATTCAATCTCCTTAACAAGGTTATAAGATTGGTACTATTTTTAAAAAATGAAGCCAGGACCTTTTGCATGCTAAGCATGTGCTCTACCACTGAGCTATGCCTCCCTATCACTGGTACTATTTTTATTTCCATTTTACAGATGAGCTAAATGAGGCTCTGAGAGATAAAGTGACTTGTCCCAAATAACTCGGAATGAGTAGCCAGGTAGTGGGTGGTTCCTGCCCTCCTACCCAGCCTCATTGTCTACCACTCTTTGTCTTGGCCCTGAATTTTTTTCTCTATGCCAGTCACACTGGCCTTTTATCATCCATCTTTAGTTCTTCCTCCCGGAGGGCTTTTGGTCCTGCTGGTTCCTCTACCTGGACTTCCTTTCGCCTTCCCATCCCCTTAGTTTCTATTCCTCCTTCAGAGCTCAGATCACGCCTGACCCCCTTAGAGAGCTGACGATGCCCAGTTCCTATCACAGGCCGACTCTCACTCGTCCGCATGAATGTCTTCATAGAACATCTCACACTTTGCAGCTTTATGCTGCTTATGTGATTTGTTTTTAACCCACCACTTAATAAAAGGCTTTCTATGAGCCAGTCATTCTGAGGTCTTTATGTACATTAACTCATTTAGCCTTTACAAGATCATGAAGAAGTAGGTACTATTATTACTCCCATTTTGCTAGTGTGCATGAGCTGCAGGGACAGCAGAGGATGCAGCAGGACAGTGGTGAAAGTGACTCGCCTGTCCCAGCACCTACAGCAGTCCTGCTGGTGGCTTGAAATGGCCTGGGTCAGAGGCTGCAAGTGTGCTCTTCAGGGTTGAGCAGACCCAGGGCCAAATATGGGCTCCACCATCTTTAACTCAGAGACCGGGGCACATCAGCTTGCCCGTCTGAACTTCTGTTTCCCTACCTGCGGTGCCACCATTTCTTGGTTATATGTTCTTGGCTAAATCAACCTCAGTCATCTCATCTATAAAAATAGGATTGATCAGAGAGGTAAGAAACATAGTGCAGGTCCTGTGGTTCACAGTCCTGTCATGGGACGAATTCCCCGGGAAGCCGACTTTGAGATGGACATCAGTGTGCGGGAAGTTTCCAGGAGCACTCTCAGGATCAACACTCGTGGGGAAGGGAAAGAGGCAGGATCAGGCAGAGGGAGATGCTGGGCTGAAGTGCAGTCTCCACCATGCCCCAGCCAGCCACAGAGGGCGCCCCGCAGTGGAGATGACCTGGAAAGTTATCCCAAGTTGAGGTAAGAGAGCTGGGTCTTACCTCCTCCACATTGGATGCAGGCTAACTTCCAGAAAGGGGCATGACCCGGGGCTGGGTGACTCTCCTCACCAAGGACAATCCCTGGACAGGACTGACAGCCGGCAGCGCACTGAGCAGCTGGGTTAGGGGTGACAGGAGGGGAGAAATAAATCCTTGGTTCCGAAGGGGACACTGAGTGGCACATCACAGTATCCACTACAATGCTGGACACCTAGCAAGGGCTCAATAAATGTTACTAGTCATTGTTGTCCTTCAGTGAACTCATTTACAGATGTGGAAACCGAGGCCCAGAGAAGGAAGGTAATAAACCTGAGACCACCTGGCAAGCAAGTGGGAGAACCAGGACTTCAGCCCCTGGCTTTCTGATTCCAAAGCTTTAAGTAGCACGTCTTTCCATCCCTAAACTTTGTCATGAATGTGTGAGCTTGTTAGTATCATTAAGGCAGAAAGAAGGTAGGGGTAATTTTCTTATGATTTCTGGGTTAGGGGGAAAGCCAGGCTTATGACCTGGTGATCGTATAATTTACTGTTCAAACCTGGACACTTTTATGAGTAAAAGGGGGTACTTATAAAAAAATAACATTTTGATGCTGGAATAATTTTAGATTTACAGAAAAGTCACAAAGGCAGTACAGAGAGTTCCCCTATACTCTCCGCCCAGGTTCTAATGTTGACTTCTTTCCTTACAATAATACATTCCTCAAAGCCGACATTCATACCTTACTGTTAAGACTTTAAGGTGGTGTCTCCCAGGTTTCTTTCTGCTGTGAAGCTACCATCTTCCTTTTTCCCCAACTGAATCTTTGGAATCCAGACATTGAGTTCAGCCCACACTCAGGAGGGAGAAGGGTCTGGAATTAAGCTCCACCTTTTGGAGGGGGAAGTAGCCACATACATTATTTGGAATTCTTCCGTAAGGAAGACTTTTCTCTTCTTCCAAAGGGAGTATTTAAAATTATTATGCCAAGTGTATATAGTTACGACAGGCATAAGCCAGGGCTATTCTGAGCCACCCTGGGACACGGCAGGGCTTAGATTAGGTAAGAGCTTAAGCTGTTGATTTGGAAGACTGTGAGTTGGAATTCTGGCCCTTCTACTGAATTGCTGTGTGACCTTGCTCAAGTTGCTTCACCGCTCTGAACCCTGGATCTTCTTTCTTCCTGGGGTTGTTTTGAGGAGTAGATGAACTCATGCCTTGTAAAATGCCTCGCACAAAGCAGCCAGCAGTAAAAGCAGTCACTGTCATTATTTAACAATTTTGAATGTGAGGAAATGGAAGCTTGCAGAGAAGGAGGGATTTCCCCAAGCTCTCCGTTTGCTCCTCCGCTCCCTTGCTTTCCCTGCCCTCCTTGTCCTTCTGCCAAGCTGTGGCCTTGCATGTGAAGGTGTTGAGAAGGCTGCCAGACCCACGGTAGGTAACTGAGTCTCTGTGTGAAGGTGGTGCCAGCTTCCTCCACGCGATGCTGCTGGGAGGGGAGTGCAGGGGAGATTAGGATCCCCCGTCCTGTATGCCCACGGGGCTGGGGCCACTTGGGGGGCAGCTGCCTGGCTCAGTTTTAAGCTGAGATTGAATTTCCAATTAAGGGAATCTTTGGGTTAGGAGGAAAAGCAGGGTTGTCTGCCTCCCGGGGATAGGGTGAGTAATCAGGCTGCAGAGAACAGAGAGCCTTCCCAGCACCTCCTCCTCCCGGGCAGGCCTGGGATCTCTGTCCATTATAGCCTCGAACTCCTTACCCTGGGCTTGCAAGGAACTTGTTGGCTCACAGTCTAAGATCAGGACAGCTTTCCCAGATGGAAAGGAGAAAGCTGAGATGTCTTATCCCCAAAAATGGGCTATAGATTGAAAAAGATTCCAGATCTGTGCTGTCCAATATGGTAGCCACCAGCCATATGTCTTTCGAGCTCTTGAAATGTGGATGGAGATGTGCTCTAAGTGAGAAGCACACGCTGGATTCTAAACACTTAGTAAGAAAAGAGTATAAAGTAACGTAGTAATAATTTTTTTATGTTGATTATGGGTTGAAGTAATTACATTGTAGATATAGTGGGTTAGATAAAATGTATTGTTATCAATTTCACTTGTTTCTCTTAGCTGTTTTGAATGTGGCTACCTTAGAAAAGTAAAAAATTACATATAGGTCTCACATTGTACTTTTATTGGACAGTGTTGCTTTAGACCCATTCAGGGCCCTAAGGAGATTGTCTAAGTCCTTCACTGACCAGATGGGGAAACTGAGGAACAGAAGGAGACAAAGAGATATCCATCACCGATAAGCAGTTGAGGGGGAACCAGCTTCATGCCGTCTGATTGTGTGACTCTGAACTCTTTTTGTAACGCCTTTTAAGGTCATGAATACTGGGCCGGGGAGAGAAGCTGGGATGTTTGGGGAGGTGTTTAAACTTTTCTGGTTGTCATGCCGACACCCTGGTAAATGGCTCCTTTCTGAAAGGATTGCAGGGAGTGGTTAAGAGAGGGGCTTTAGCTCTGCCTCTTGCTGGCCGTATCTTCTCTCCAGCCTTCAGTTCTCTCACATGTAAAAGGAGAGCGATGGTATCTACCTGGGAACATTTTCACGAGGGTTAAATCATAAGCTGCATGTGCAGCACTCAGCACCGGGCTGGAAGCAGAAAGTTCTCAATAAGTCTTAGCTGTTGTTGTCATTGTCTAGGATTTTTGTTGTTGTCGTGCCCCTGCAGCAGAAGCAGGGCATGGCCTGCAGGAGTTCTCAGCAGCCCCAGGGCGTGAGGTTTGGAACATCTCAGGTCTTGTACCAGGGGAGCATCAGTGTGGCCCTGAAAGACAGAGCCCCCTGAATTGGTCTGTTCTCTGGTCCTCCACCTTCCCACCCCCTTCCCCTCCCCAGACTGGCCCTGGAAAT